AGAGAAAAGGACTAAATAGACCGGATAGCCGGATAGTTAATCATTATCCGGCTATCCGGCTAGATTGTCAAAAAGTAACCGGATAGGCCGGATACCGGATACTTGCCGGATATCCGGCACATCCCTAGTTTGTTCAGCGTTCGATTTTGACTTTTATCATGTGAGTATGCTGTTTTGTTTGTGTGTTGATTTGCTGGGCGATAATATGTCAATAGAATTTGACTATTTCATGACCAAAACTTTAATCAAGTAAGATTCCACTTTTTTGATTATATTCAACAACATAGTTACAATGAGTTTGTGTGATGAAATTTTTTAATTAATATACTGAAGATGACTCAAGTAGGGTCGAAACGTTTATGTATTTATTAATTTTCTGCGGTTTTACATATTTGCATTGTATCTTTGCGGATTACTTGATATTTTGTTAATAAAGGACTTACATTGCTCGTAAAACAGACCTATGTTTGGTTGGTAATTACTATTCTAGTGTTTTAATTATTAGGTGCGCAACTAAGTTCTCGCTTTTTTTTGAAAATGCAACTTTATTAAGAGATTGAGTGGAAAGGCAGATCCGAGCAGTAAAATACAAGTTGGTCGTGTATCACAAATAGTCTTTATTAAATTCAACAGTACACAGTGTCCTGTGCTGACTGTTTTGGATGCTGTTTGCTCGCGTGTTATCTCTTTCAAATCACATTTCTATACACTGATGAAGGTCTAAACCATTGACCGAAACGTCTGTTGAATTTAATAAAGACTATTTGTGATACACGACCAACTTGTATTTTACTGCTCGGATCGGCCTTTCAACTCAATTTCTTGACAATTTCACGAGCGAATCACCGATGCAACTTTATTGTGAAAAAATGAATTACAATATTACAAATGAATTATTCAAAGTATTGCCCATCTGTAGCTACAACTTTTTCCCATTTTTCTGGCAGAGCTCGAATACCGTTACGGTAAAAGTGTTCGTCTTTTGAAACTATTCACGAATCAAGCCATTTTTTGATGTCTTCATATGAGCGGAACTGCTGATCAGCCAGACCATGTGCCATCGAACGA